TAGAAAACAGCAAAAAATGTTCGGGTTCATCAAATATGTAGTAGTTAACAGCCCTATGGAGTCTCTAGTGAACAGAACAGATTACTAATGTAAGCCAGATACAAAGTCACAAGGAGAAAAATCCAAGTAAATCTTGACTCACAATTCAAAGGAGGTTCCGTTGAACCACCACACCAAGAAAAGTTCCATCTTCCTGGTATTCCGGATCTCCGGCGATTGAAATATTAGTCCACAAGTGTGAATATATTAGTCCAGTGTTTGTAGCTGAAATGTTTGTTCACATTTAGAGTTGGTAGCAGCCAATTATAACCAACCAGCGGTCACAACAACAGTCACCCAGTAAAAGTCTCAAATTCACGTTGGAACCAAAACGCGGGCGGCTGTTGTGTATTTTAATAAAAAGCAAACTTTTGTACAGTGATGTGATTGATAATGATGGGGAAAAGGAAGATGATACTGAGCATGAAAAAGGACAGCTTACAAGTGCTACAATTGTAAGAACCAGTCGGGGAGAATTACGTCGAGACGTACGCCAAGTACTCACTGAAGACCTCCGGCCAGGATGGTGTGAACTTCAAGGAGTAGAGCGATAGGGTGGCTGATAAGTATGCTGGTTCAACCTCCACGTAACCTCATGGTTGGTTGATTGCTCCTGTGAATCAACGGTGATCAGTGGTTATTTTTCTTTTCTGTTCTGACTACTCTTGAGTAGCATAAATTAGGCCCTTTTATTATAACATCATTTTGTTTCCTTGCTAGTCATTCCCCGGGTATTCGCTCCTGCCTGTTTTCTAATAACCGATGTCAAGATTTTGTTTCCTGTCCGTTTTCGTTTTCAAGTTCATGTCAGCTGTACCTATTTAAGTGTCCGCTATGACAAAATCGGACTTGCCGAGGATCGAACTCATGCCCCTCGGACGGTAATCAAGCTTGTTATCCACTACACCGACTCAACGACTCAAGAGACCCTATTTTTGTCTTACCTTCATGCCTCATCTGCCTTTGTTGAGATTTGTTTTAAAAGGGTGATCCGATTTGGCACGTGGCATGAGCTTCCGCATCGCGCCGTCAGCTAAAGATGGCTTCTTACCTCCCAAACGTACCGATTGTTTTCTGTTCCGTTATCTGTTTGCGGCCAATTTACACTGTCCGACTGCCCGTATCTGTACGTTTGTACATCATTTGATACTTACTATCGTTTGCAGAAAGCCTTGCTGCCTCACTGGCCATTTTTCTGCGCGATGTCTATTGAACCGTATGTCCATATGAGCGTTTCCCGACAGTACTCAGTACAACATCAACTGTCCTCGTCTGTCTGCTCTCACTGCTCCTTCGGTGCCTAGATCCTACAGTTGCTGTACGCAACGTTAGAACGAGCACGGAAATCCCCAACTATGACGCGAGCCCAACCTTATCAACTGTCCTCGTCTGTCTGCTCTCACTGCTCCTTCGTAGCCTAGCTGTACGCAACGTTAGAACGAGAACGGAAATTCCCAACTATGACGCGAGCCCAACCTCTCCAAGCGCGGAGAGAAGACCGGATTTTTCGAATGGAGCTTTTACTGTCCCAACCAAGGCAATTTACAGTAGCACCAACGTCGAATCTATTTTGGATGACCTTGAAGACGATAAATACGTCACAGTGCTACTAGCCAATGTGAAGAAATGTCGGAAATCAACAATGGCCTTCAACGCATAAAGACAACAGATAAATGGCCTATGCTCGTGAACAGAATACAGTCGAAACGGCAGACCTCAGCATCGGATGCTTGGGATGGACTTGCTACTCGCGTGGTTCCAGCTACTTCGCTCAGCACCTCACTTCTTGACCTGCTGAGTCCGTTGATGGAAAAGATCGAAAAAAGGCTATACACAACTGGACAAATTTCAGATTTGGCGAAGGTAAGCAAACGTGGGTTCAGCTGCTTTGTCCGCAGTTTATTGTTCAGTCCTTGAACGGATGAACGAAGTAAGCGGAGTGTTCGCTGAGGGGGGTACCTCAAAGTTGTTCCGTTCGTTCCTTCGAACTCGAGATGGCTCTCTGGTTAGGGCGTGAACTTACTGACCGGAAGGTCCGTAGTTCGAACCCAACCCCGACCACTCGGTTGGTTTTGGTCGTCCCGTAGTATATCAGCCTCTGTACCTTTTGGTAGCATTACAGAAAGAAAGAAAGCGTTCAGCTGTAGCACCCTTCCGGTGCCTAGCTGCCATGCCACCCGAAGGAAGCACGAGGGCTGAGATACTGCCAGGTTGCCCAAGCCTAGGCAGGGGAAGTTGAGTGGCGGAGGTCGGATTCGAACCACGGACCTTCCGGTCAGTAAATTCGCGCTCTAACCACTTGGGCCATCTCGCCTTACAGGCACCGAAAGGTTGTCAAAGCTGAACTTCTTTCTTTAGATCACGGTTATAGAGGACACAAATGCTGCCCTAAACCTCTGTTGTGTTCCAGTGCAACGCTGTCATGTTTACTAGGGCGTGCGATTGTCCGTTTCGGGATAAATCTATTGTGCACAACCAGATATACTCATGACCGAACGAAGCAAGCGGGTCAGGACTGCAGCCTTCAGGTCACATTTGAACAGGCGTCTACAATAGTATTTGGCTCTCGAAACCTGTTACATTGATCCTCTCGGTGAAGTTTAAATGAAGATTTGGCCAGCATATTTAACCGAGGCTGATAATTGGAATCTAATGCCTCTTGACACATTTGGTTCGTCGACTTCAAGATACATTCCAACTCCCGCTTGCAATGGTCCGTTTTATATGTATGTCCGT